TTCGTGGTAGGGGTGGTAAAGAGAGGGTAGGAGTGGAAGGAATGGTAGAGGTGGTAAGAGAGTGAGTGATAAGATGAGGGTTAGAGGTATGGAGTGGAAGTGATAGAGGGGGCTGCGGGGCGGTAGAGGTAGTAGTGGTGGTAGAGGGGGTAGAGGTGGTAGAGGTGGTAAGGAGGTGGTAGGGGTGGTAGGGGTGGTAGAGGTGGTAAGAGAGTGAGTGGTAAGATGAGGGTAGAAGTGATAGGGGGTGCTGCGGGGCGTTAGAGGCGGTGGTGGTGGTAGAAGGGGTAAGAGTGGTAGGAGCAATTGCTAGGACAATGCCACTGAGCAGGCGCCACTACAAATGTGGAAGGTGTAGTTAAAGCTTGCTTGATTGAAAAGGTTGCTAGCTTCGTGTATACAGAAAACTTGACCTTGCTAAGTGCGCCACTTGACCTTGTCACCTTGTTACATAATCATGACCTCAACCTCAACACAATACAGTATTACAAGATTTCAATATTACACTCTTACTCAATCAGTTCACAATAATCAGAATATTTCTATAATTCTTACTCTCAGAGAGATTAACAGTGAAGTCAATTGTCATATCTTGTCAGATTCTATCAGAAATATTGAGTGATTTCAGCAGATCTTTTCTACAGTTCTTTTATAAAATGATGAAGAAACAATAGTTACAGTTTCAGACAAAATGTCTGATGCTGTTCAATATCTCAGATCAGTAGAACTCTTGAGAGATTATTTAATACAGTTATTCACAACCTGAATAATCAGTTATATGAGAATCATGCATCTCTTGTATTATCTTAGTGTGTAAGAATTTGAAATGAGAGACTCAGCATTGTTTATGAAATTGCAGAGTATTATTATCATTGATTAAGCATTCTGAGATGTCAATACATAGTTCTGAGAGAAATTGAGATGCTTCTGAATGTACTGCTTTAGTGAGTGCTTAGAGAAGTTCATTGATTTGAGCTGTTATATGTCACAATTTATTCAGTGTAGAAGAAGTGAAGATATCAGTATTAGTATCAGTTTGAAGAGAGAGTGTTCTAATCAGAGAAGCATGTATAGTATTATAAGTTATTTTATCTTGATCAATCAATATCTTTGAATGTAAGAGTCAGTGTTCTCAGTTCATTCAACAGATATCTGTTATATTGAAAGACATATCTTACTCTTGTTATAAGAGAGTATCTGTCATTGAGTTCTGACTGTCAGAATGATAGTGTATTATAAAATGAAAGTAGCTTAAGAACTCAGATCATTGTATCTATTATTTAGTAAGTTTATAGATAGTAGTAAAGTACTTAAGATTCTTTTGATCTGTGAGTATCTCACATTTGAAGATACTTTGAAGTTCAGAGTCTCATTCTTCTAGACAGTGTATAATTATAAGAAGTTTCTTATCGTAGATCTTATAATTGTATTCAGTGAGATTCAGTTTCTTAGATATAAAGATACATGATTGTAAGATATTTTTATCATTATATTGCAATATAGCTTCTTCTATAATATAGTTAGAGAAATTAGCTTTAATAACTGTCTTATAATCAGAATTGAATATTATCAGTAGAGAGGTATTAATGAATATCTGTCTCATTTATATAAATGCAGCTTCAATGTCTGCTGATTATTGAAATACTGAGTCTTTCTTAGTAAGTTCTGTAAGTAATCTTATAATATCTGAGAAGTTCTGTATAAATTGCTAATAGAAGTTAGTAAATTCAATGAAGCTTTGTATATCTTTCACAGTGCATAGAATCTCTCATTTAAGAATAGCAGAGATCTTCTCAGAATTCATTTAAATCTTCTTATCAGCTTCTATGATAAAGCCTAGATATTTTGTACTTTTAATCTCAAAATCACACTTGTCTATATCTATTGATAGTTCTACTTTCTGTAGTTATTATAATATCTTTTGTACATGTTCTTGATATTCTTTCTTGAACTCATCAGTGAAGATAAGAATGTTATCAAGATATACAGATACAAATTCATTAAGAAAATATTGAAGTGCTCAGTTAATATACTTCTGAAATATACTGAGAGTATTAGCTAGTTCAAAAAGTGGGACTACTCATTCAAAGAGATCATATTATGTTTGAAATACTGTAAGTCACTTATCTTCTTCAGTGATATGAATTTTATAAAACACAGTGATAACATTTAAGTTTGTAAATCATTGAGCTTATTCAATATGAGTTAGAGTTTTATTAATAAGAGATAAAGAATAATGAATCTTCTTTATTAATCTGTTCAGTTCTCAATTGTTCACACAGAATCAAAGTTCTTTATCTGATTTCTTTGCAAAGAGAATAGAGACTGCAGTGAAAGAGTTGCTAATATATATGAATTCTTTATTCAACAGATTATTGAGTGTCTTTCAAAGAAGCAGAAGTTCATCTCAGAACATGTTATAAAAAAGGTCTCATGATAGTTCAGAGTCTTTATCATTCTTCTTTCTAACTTGATACTGTGATTCACTTCTGAGTCTTGTAAGAAGAGTATATTTATAATATTATCTTATCAGAAGACATCTAGATATTCATGATATTATTAAGAGAGTTTCATATAAGAATCTGTTATTATAACACAGAATAACTTTTCTAGAATCTTTTTAATATCAGTCAGACTGACAGAGTAGATTATTATATAATTCTGCTATCAGTGATCTTGTCAGTGATTCTGTCAGTAACTTCTTTTTCAGAGTATTTTATACACATTGACAGAAATCTGTATCAGATTCATGGTTTTATAAATATCATCTTCATGAATTCTATCATTGTTAGGAAATATTAAGCTTCTGTTTCAAGTGTTCAGTAAGATATCTTATTCAGATAGTCAGACAAGTTCTAATATAAGATTATAATCAAGATTATCAACTTTATATATGTAGATATCTTTATATTGATATTCTTCAATATCTATGTTTAGTTTTATTATGTAATGAGTGTAAATGTCTTTTAAATTATCAAATTATACAAGAAATTGAGATTTTAATAAGAGAATACACTGAAGATTATATATCTTACAACTGAAGATTTAATCATTGTATAATAACATAAATCACTATCTATTATAGCTTTTATATTATACATGTTATCTAATACAGTAGATATAAGAATTGCATTCATTATCATTTTTCTTCTTTAAATTATTGTCATCTGATCTCTTCAGCTTCTGTTTATGAATTTGAACAGAAGCTAATCTTTTTTCTGTTTTATCAGAGTATTCTCATAGTTATCTTCTGAATCTTCTTTCAATGCAATGTGATTGACACAGACAGACACTGATTCATTCTTTAAGTAAGAAGACACTGATCTTTCTCTTGAGTGAGAAGGTACATAGGTTAATCAGCAGTTGAAAGTAATGTATTCTAATTAATTACAGTTGATGCACACTTCTTGTTGACATTGATCAGCAACTTCTTCAGAGGTAATCTCAGAGACTTAAAAGCCTGTTTAAATAGTGAAAACTCTTGCTTATGTATAGATATTTAAGTCTACTCAGTTCATAGCATCTGCATCATTGTTGTTATTTCTCAGTACAGATGTATAAGTGACTGAGTTATTTCTTAATATAGATGTATAAGTGTAACATCTTCTGTCACTGTTCTGTATACTCTTGAGCTTGATAAGATGATCATTCAATGTCTGAAGTTATATACAGAAATCTTCATAAGTCTGATCTTTGTCTATGCTTATAAGAGTCTGTAAGAGTTTAAAAGTTAATATCTTCTTAAGCATACTAATCTTTATTCAATTCTT